CACATTTTAGGAAGGACATTGACAAACTGAGGGACTTCCAGAGGATAACTAGAATAGCTGAGAGTCTTCTTTCAGGGACCAGGGACAGACCCCTGCCTCCTCACACTGCAAAGGCTACAGTCTCTATTGTAATCCAGGTTTTGGTGATCCTCTCACTTTTAGAGGGCCTTATGGCCACCCTCACCACACACTTGCATTTTGTTTGTGCCAGATAGCTCCTGTTCTTCTCTTCTCTTTTAGGGACAGGAGGATCTGAGCTTTCAATCACAGTTTCCTGGTCCTTCAAGTTCAAATAGATATAAGAATTGGAGCATCCTTGGTTACAGTTAGAAAGTTTTTCTTTGAGCCTTAGTCAGCTTCCCTGCAACTTCTATCCATGTTCCTAGTTCTGCTCTTTAGGGGCAAGTAGCCCAAGTCTAATCCTTCTTCCATGTAACAGCCTTCAATTAGGCTTTGACTTGAAGGGCCACACTTGAGGACCTAGAGGGCCACTTGTGGTCTCGAGGCCGAAGGTTCCCCACCCCTGCTCTAGAATGTGTGGTTCTTTTCCCTCTACTATGCACTGAATTCTCCTGAACTAACTCTTCTGCTACATTATGGGTGAATCTTTTTGGACAAGTAGCTCTGATACTATACTCCTTAGCCAATAGAGTGGATGGTGTGGAAAAAGAAGTCTTCTCCAAAAGAAGGAGACCTCCAAAAAGGGGTCTCCTTCATAAGTAACATCTAGTCTGCATTCAACCAAACTGGTCAACTCTTTCAGCTATTTAAAGCCCCCAGGCATGTGGTTCATTTTCAGCCCTGAAAATCATGTGACCTGGCCTCATCTGATTCACTCAGAAAAAGATGCTCACATTTTCAAAGGGTCATTGAGTATTTACCTGTCAAATCCTCTTTATGTCTGCTATCTATTCATTGCTTTCTCAGATTGCATCAGCTAAAGAAATGGAGGGGAAGAACCAAATATATCCTCGTTGCATTTTGGATGTAGTTTGTATTTATTTGTCCTGGTATAATGTTTTTTCCCAGTTGACTTTAAGCTCCATGAAAGCAGAGATTGTTTCTTTTTTCTTCTTTTTTTCCCCACTTTGGTCTTTATAGGTCCAACATCCTACACAGTGGCTGACACACAATAGGTACTTAACCCAGGTCTGATCAGGTCACACACTCCCCCCCCCTTTCCCAACTTAATAAATTTCAGTGGCTTCCTGTTGCCCCCAGGATCAAATACAAAATGCTCTGTTTCATAATCTAGTCCCCTCCTGCCTTTCCAGTCTTCTTAAACCTTACTCCCCAACTCAGTGACACTGGTCTGCTGAGTGTTGCACAAACAAGACATTCCATCTTTTCACACCTTTTTTATCTGGCTTTCCTCCATTCCTACAATGCTGTCTCTCCTCCCCTCTGATTAAAGACCCCTCCATTTCCTTTAAGTCCCAACTAAAGTTCTACCTCTTAGAGAAAGCCTTCTCCAACTATCAATTCCCGTGCCTTCCCTCTTTTCATTATTTCCTATTTATCCTGTATATAGCTTGCTGTGTATATGTATATTTAGTGAACCCCCCATTTCTTTTTGAGTTTGACACCAGTGTTCTAGACCATGAAAGTGTGTTTTCTAAAGTTTGCTTACAAGGAAAAGGTCCCTACTACTACAAACTGTGCTGTAGACTAAGCATAGCCAAAAGGCAATGCATGAGCCTCACCCTGGGAAAGCTATCTCTGTGATCATGGTGTTTCCCCAACCAGCTAAACCTTTTTCTGATGCCTCTTGTCATGGAGGTGACCCTGGATTCTTGGAAGCTCTGCCAGTAGAGCAAGCAAGGCTTTGAAGGTGATAGACTGTGTACCTGTTTTCAAAGAACAGCCTAGTTAGCTTTGCAGGGCTCATCACCAGGTTGGCAGCAAGGCAATGGACTTTTTAATACCAAGAACTCTCAAAGATAGCCAACCAAGTTAAAGAGGTCGGAATCTGCAGCACTAGAGAGAGAATCCTTACCAACAAAACCACAGATTCTTGAAACACAAAACTATAAATGGAAATACACACATATACATGTATATACATATACATATGTGTGTATAAATATAAATATATTCAAAAATAATATGCCAAGGTGAGTTAGTATAGAGTGTAAATAAAAAGAGAAATCTATCTAGTCTCAGACTTGGAGGCCCTTCTTAAGCTAATATATTGAGCCAGGGTTCTCTTTGTTGTTGCTTAGTGGTTTTTTTACTCCTTTGCGACTCTCCTTGAGCCCCTTTGGGGTAGGTAGGTGGCACGGTGGCTAGAGCACTAGGCCTGGAGTCAGGAGGTAATCGTTGTTGTTCAGTTGTTTCAATCATGTCTGACTCTTTGTGACCCTATTTGAGGTTTTCTTGGCAAAGCCAGGTGGCACAGGGGATAGAGTTCTGGGCCTGGAGTCAGGAAGACTCACCTTCTTGAGTTCAAAGCTGTGTGACCCTGGGCTAGTGACTTAATCCCATTTGCTTGAGTTTCCTCATCTGTAAAATGAGTTAGAAAAGGGAATGACAAACCACTCTGATGTCTTTGCAAAGTAAACCCCAAATGGGGTCACAAGGAGTTTGGACACAACTGAACAACAACAATGGCAAATGTGAGAAATAAAAGAGTTAAGTTTCCACATAAGTAGATAAGAAATCAGCACAGACAGGCTAACTTCTCTGTCCGGGGGGGAGTGAC